GCACCAGCGAATAGTAGTTTTTGAAGGTGGACACCAGCTTGAAGGGAACGCGGGGTGACAGGGTGCAGGTCACCTGCCCGTTGGCACCAGAGTCGCGGTCAGACACACTGATTAGGGCAATGACCGTGCCGAGGGGAGCATCTTCTAATACAGGTAATGATAGTGATTTGATAACCAACTCAGGTACATTATCATTGGTGTCCAAAATTTCCACCAGAACCGTGCAGTGACCTGTCATTGGGGGAGTTCCTTTATCTGTCGCGTCTACCTGGATTTCATATAACTTAGTTTCCTCGAAATCTATATTACCTTTTACACTGATGTATCCACTAACTGGGTCTAAGTGGAATTTCAAAAGAGTATCTGCTGACATGTCTGTATTGAAAGAATATACAATGTCCTTATTTACTCCTTCATCCAAATCAGAGGCGTTAACAATCACTGCTAGGGTACCGTTTGGTGCATTTTCGAATAAACTGACTCTATAGACAGTCCTCTCAAACTCTGGGGCGTTGTCGTTTACATCTAGAATGGTGATCTTCACTTGAGTAGTTCCGGTGAGCTCTGGTTTCCCACCATCAACTGCCGTTACTAGTAAGTGATGTTCAGGAGTGTCCTCGCGATCTAAAACTTTTCTCAACACGAGTCCAAGGGATTTAATATTATCATCATTTCTTTTAATATCCAAGGTAAAATAATCGTTAGAGTTAAGACTGTAGGTCAACAGAGAATTGGCTCCAATATCTGCATCTGACGCGCCCTCTAGCGGAATCCGAGAACCAGGCGGCCGGGATTCGTAAATAAATAATTTTTTTACTGCCACCGGGAAAACTGGCTGGTTGTCGTTAATGTCCTTCACCTCTACCTCCACATGGAAAACCTGCAGCGGCCTGTCCACGATCACCTCCAGGTGGATGCTGCACTCCGCGCTCCGCCCGCACAGCTCCTCCCGGTCGAGTGCGGGGCTCCATCTCATGATCCCCCTCAGATCATGACCTGAGCCGAAGGCAGACGCTTAATGACT